CACAATGTGGCTTATGCACTATTTGATGCCCCCACCAGGGCACATGGTCAAATGTGCTTCAAAGCGGGTTTCTGTAGTGGGGGAACTTGTGAAATTATGCTGACACAGTTGTAACTGGAACCAACAAAAATAGTCACTTCAGGAAAGCGCTTCATACATCGCGTTCATGGATCTTGACGACGTACTGATTCCAAGAATGGCAAGAAATTATCTGGACGAGTTTGCTCATCTTTTCCATTCAATGCCAAATGTTGCGTACATTCATTACATGAAGGAAAACACAAGGCTAGATGTCGGTTAGTGAAATCCGAGTTGTTTCGTATGATTACTTTATCGCACTCTGGGTCGGATTCATCACTCAACCGTGACGCTTTTAGACTAACTTTCATTTTGCATTGGATGGAGCAACCCAGGGTTTCAGAGGCGGGATGAATTTTTTTGGAAGAAACTTAAAGGCACGTTCCGCGATAAACTAAGGCTAGGTTCTCATAACCGTGCACGATGGTCAAGCAGGCAACGTCAGAGGCTATACTGCTTTTAAAAGTTGAAAAACAGCAAGCAGAGCGCAGCGCTCAGGTTTTAGGCCCATTGGCGCCCGATAGGCCCATGCCGGCCTCCGGTGACCGTGTCGTTGTGACACTGCCATTGCGCTCTCTCGCCCGTCGTTTTCTGGCCTCTCTCGTCTCTTATCAGTGTATCGCCGCCTTTCGCAATTCACAATTGATCTTGACCACCTTACGCTCGTCCGGTGATCATGATCAATTGCAATAAAGAGGGTCTTATTCCGGGCGCTTTTTCGTGCTTCCTTCTCCTTCAATAAGTCAACAAACACACGGCAATTCTATTTTTGAACTGTATTACCTATGAACTGTGGTCGCGGGAATTGCCTTTAAGAAAGAGGGGGAAACCAGGCACCCTGCCATCGTGACCACTGCTTTTGATGAGGGTTACGTGACTGCTAGGGATTTTTGCATGGTGCAACGTCAAACCCTGTAATGCATTAAAACAGCGGTCACAAAAGTATCGAAAGGTGAGAAGGAACATGTGGAGTGCCTGGAGATGGCGTTTCTTGAAGTGAAGGGACGCCCGGGTGAGCCACTTATCATAGCTGGAATCCCCGAAGGAAAGGGACTGCGGGGTAGGCCGCTCATCACACATAAATGTGTAAGGACATAGTGGTTATAGAATGCTATGAAGACAAAAGAGCGTAAATGAAAGCGAAAAATTGAGCGACTAGTGGGGGAACAGTCTTTCGGTGCGAAGGTTGGGGCGTGCCAGCGGGGCTGGATTTGGCGCGGCTCCAACTCGTTCCCCACTAGTTG